GAGCGAGACACACGATGGAGCTGATGTGCGAGCGGACGCCCCGTTGTGCCCGCAGGTTGTTGGGCGTGCACCTGAGCACAGTCACCCCCAGAGAGCTGGCGGCCCTCCACGGGTCCAAGCTTTTCCTGGTCATTGGCTGCTGACCATACCTGCCCCTGCCCCTGCCACAGGAAAGGCAGGCCATCCATCCGGCCACTCTCGTCCAAACGGCCAGACTGTGTGTCTGTGGGTCCACAACACACACTCCCACGGGCAGAAGCTGCGGGTTCTGCTTGGAGGGGAGGGCGCGGTCTGCGTGCCCTGCAACATGGAGCTCTAGGTTTGGGGATGCAGGTGCCATGAGAGAATGGAGGGCGGCAGGGGCTGCCCACGCAGGGGGATGTCGCCCCACCCCCACCCCGGGGGACACTTGGCAATGTCAGGAGACCTCGGGGTGTTGGGGAGCTACCGGCCTCCAGCAAATAGAAAACAGGCGTTGCACTGACACCGAAACCCCACCCACAGCGCCCCAGTGCCCCGCCCACTATGGAACTGAAGATGGAAAGGTGCTGCCCGGCCGGGGGTCTCGGTGGGTTGAACATTGTCCCCCCCAAAAGGTTTGGGGTCTGATTCTGAGTCAGGGCGCAGACCTAGGTTTGGGGTGTCATTCCTGAGTCGGGGTGAGCACTGGAGACAGCTGATGGCTGCTTCCCTCTCTCAGACCAATGGGAATGGTCTTGGGGGGCCTGGCCGGGGTGGCTCAGTGGTCGAGCCATCAGCCTGCTCCCCCCAGTCAAGCACATGCCCAGGTGGCGGGCTCAGTGCCCCGTGTGGCGCGTGCAGGAGGCGGCCGACCAGTGATCCCCATCAGTGATGTCTCTCTCTGAAATCAATAAAAACACCTATAAAAAAAAACACAGAAAACTCCTTGGGTGACTTGAATCAATGCAAGGGGACCATGCCACGGTGGGGAAACCCTGTCCTGTCCGCCAGGAAGGCTGGTGCCCTGGCAATGCCTCCCCCAGGGGCAGCCCCGTCCGCCTGAGGTTTAGGGGAAAACAGGTCCCATAGCAGCCAGTGTCAGGATCTATTGGGGCTTTGACCTGGGCAACCTGAGAACTACCTGCCTCGTGGATATTGCAAATCGGAACAGGATTGCTGCCATGGGGGCAGAGGGGGCGCTGGGGCAGGGGGACGAAGACACATCTGTGTAGAGTCCCAGAGGGGGGCACGGCTTGGAATCCCGCCAGTGAAGGGAGCAGGGGTGGGCAGGAGTGTGGACTCCTAAGCTGACCGGGAAACATGGCCCTGCTTTCCGGGGTGTGAATCACCCAGATCTCTCACCGATGCTTAGACCAAAGGGGACACTGCGGCTTAGACCAGAGGGGAGACCCTTGGGTTTGGCCCCTGGAAGAACTAGAGCCCGCAGTCCAGGTCCCTGTCCTGGGGACGGAGGAGGAGGAAGAGAAAACCCTGGTGTCTGTGGGCCCAGGAGCTCTCCCCTCCCAAACCAGCCGGGCCTGCCTTTCATTTCCTTCCTCATCTGTGCCTCCAGGGTTGGAGGCTGGAGACCCATCCCAGGTATTTAATCCTGTCCCAGGGCTCAGGTGGAGAGAATGGGGGGTGGGGCTGAGGGACCCCCACCCTCCACCCTGGGTTCGGACGATGCACAAGCCTCCCCTCTAAGCCAAGTGAGAGGAAAAAAAAGGAGTCTGAGTCACAGGTGCAGAGCCCACAGTTCACATTTTATTGCACTTTTTCCACAATCATTGAGTCCTGCTGGGCTGTGCCCAGGGCTCCGGAGCCAGGACCTGGAAGGTGAAGCTGAGCAGCAAGCCATTCCCGCGGAGGGGCTCCCCCAGGTACCCCGTGAGGATGACCCCTGGCCACGGTTGGGAGACCCCTCGAGGACTGAACCCCACACCCAGCGCCCACGTAGGTGGCCCTCATGACTCCCATCCCCGTCCGCACACCGCCTCCGGGATGCTGCCCCCAAACAGGGAGGCTCCAAAAGGGAGCACTTTCCTGTCCACAGCACGGCGAGTGCTCCCGTTTGGAGTGCCCCTGCCTGGGTCTGGGAACGTCTCTGGAGTCCGTGGACTCCGACGAGGCAGGATTCCCACAGAAGCTTCTGGAAGATGCCGGAGATCCTCGCTGAAGTATGGTAGCAAGCATCTCAGGTAGAAGCTGTGGTTGAACTCTCGCTTCTTCCTGAGATGATCGCTACCAGACTTCACAAGCCAGGGCCCGAGGGATCCAAGCATCACAAATACACAGCATCAGCTTGTGAAGCTGCCAACTGGAGTGGAACCATCAGGAACGTGGGCTGCACGCGGTCACATGTGGCATCGACAGCTTCCCGGTTCCCTTCTCCTGAGGCGTCCCTGAAGCCGTTCATTCCTTGGCCTGCAGTCCACCTGGCCGGCCCAGATCCGGGGTGGGGAGAGGGGAGCCCCTGGATGTGCCCCCCAGTGACACTCAAATGTTGCAGCACTTTCCGCCCGGGCATCGGAGGGTGCCTGCTCATTTGGGTGCCACAGGCTGAGCCGTGGTGACCCCCGGGACCCGGGCCTCGCACACCTCCCCGAGGCCACAGTGTGCAGGGTCCTCCCGGCCCATCAGCAGAAGCCCCGTCTCGGCCGGTGGAACTCAAACAGTGGCGGCACTTTGCTCTCAGCACAGAAAGTGCCCCCACAGTTTGAGTCCCACAGGCCGAGGACTC